AGCAAATTCTTTCGACAGCGTGATCTGGTGGTGTCCAGAGCTGCACTACGCACGTATCTTTTCACTTAAACAGCTTTACCGAACTCAGTCCATTGAATTTGTCTGCTTTAGATTTAAACATGTCTCGATGTCCAATTGTCGAGCAGAGCAGAAACAATTTAGATTAAAATTGGGCGATCTAATCTTCGAGTCTGAAGCTCCTGTATTTTCGCGATGCGCCACATATTTTTTTGATGTATTCCTCCCGCACGATGCGTTCTTGAGTACTGCCGCCAGCCTGATGGTAAGTTCTGTCACCGTCTTTGCATCGCTTTCAAAACTTTGAGTCAGTTACATCAGCACTAGGAATTTGGATCATGTGTTTTTTTACCATCCACATTAAATACATGGATTTGTAGAAGTAAATCTTACAAAATCCAGTGCACGGCAGTTAGCAAGCTTAAATAAGTCTGACATTGGCAGCTGATGTATCTGGAGGGAAGTGTGAAAATCGTGGAATGCACAGCACCTTTCATGCCTCTGAAAGACAAACATATGCTTTAAGCTAATATTTTTCAAAATTTTACTTTCCTGGGAAGGAAAAAATCCGAACCGATGGAGATCTGAAATATAGGTCGTAGAATGAAAGGTGCTTTAGAGCCAGTTAAATAGTGAGCAGAGCGGGACGGAGTAGAAGGGATTGGATGAAATTCAGAAAAGGACAGAAAGAAGTCGAGCTTAAGCGTGTTTAGGCATTTTCGAATAAAGTGGAGGCTCATGAAAATGACCAAAAATATAAATCACTTACTGTACGATGAGCCTGATAAATTCGGATAAAAGATGTATGCAAGTCATGCAGCACACGTTTGTTCAGGTTGAACCCGCATCACGACAATATTTCAATTCAGTGAAATATAACTGCTCGCACAACAACTTCTGGAATCCTCCAACTTTGGTCGAAATTAGACCGCAGCAGAACGAGGTGTCTGCAACGAGTTGTCAAATTATTTGTAAAAGTATCCAGACGTCTTCTGCAAAGAATTTTTGTGCTAAAAAATAGTGTTCTCCTATGCATGCACTCCACTGAGCTGTGCAACAGCTTGCACTAGTTTTTGCAAAAAAAAAAAACTTTTCCTACTTTTTTTTCACTTATTATTAAATTCATACTTTGTGACCCGAAATTTCAGCTTGTTCCCTTCACATCTATTTTTGCTCAAAATACCGCAGCTAATGCAGATAAATGAATTCATTTCCTTGTAAAGTAAGGACATGTGGAGGATTGGATAGATGGACATTGAAGAAGCCTTTTTCAGGAGCGAAGAATGCTGCAGATTTGTGCACCGCATCGAAGTTTCCAAAAATACCGCTTTCTAATAATCCCGCGATACAGTTATTTGACGCTCAACTCTTTCGCAGCAAATCATCTACATATGGTACAAAGTTGCATCGAGGCAATTTTCATTTCCATTCTTTCTAGAATCACTATTGTAACTTGCG